CGTATAGATTAGCATGCTGTAGCTCTTGATGGGAAAAACAAGGACAAGAAGCCGAGTTGATTTTTTTTAAATCTATTCTTTTTTGACTGGGATAGTCTCAATTCAAATTCAAAAGAGTTGAGTTGAGCTTACATATTTGAGGCATTAACAATCCCCTTTTTTGCCTCGTATATCTTCGGTCCAGTCAAAATGATGTATTATCTACCAATGTCCCATCTTATGTTTTAAGACCGATATCTTGTATCAACCCCCGATGCATAAGATATGTTCATGCCGATGCATGTGGTCTTGTGTGCTTATCAAGCTCAGCTTCTCGGACTATCATCGAAGTGACATTGGCTCAGTATTTTACTTCGCTTACTTCAGAGGGTTCAAGGTTAAAGGTGTATCATGTAAATACAAAAGAGGAAATCCTTCAATGAACAATGGAGGATAAGTATAAATACACAAGATGAGATGAAATGTGGGAGCCCCAATCAGGAGCCCCTTTTTTTAAAAGGGGCGCCTGAAGTGTTTGTAGCCTGGTGTCCGACCCGAGAGGGGGCGCCGGATACTGTTCCGAGGGCTCTAAATAGTGGGATCCAATATATATATAACCTATCTCTAAATACCTTATCATCAAACACACCCATACAGACATATAATTTCTTCACACACACACACATAGAGAGAGCGAAAGAAAGAAAGAAAGAGGAAATAGATAAATAAAAAGAAGAGATACATGAAATCATTCAACAATTCTATACGAGGACACTCCAAAGATCTCTCTCTCTAAAAAAAGAAACCGAAAGAAACTAATTTGAATTTATTTAGACCTAATCCCTTCAAACACCTTGACCAAAACCGATCCTAATCCACCATTAAATTCCATAGACTTCACAATCTTTCCCACCAAACTACCTACAGTCACCCCATGTTTTCCCGATGCCACATCTCCTCTTCTAGTACGAACGCCTAAATCTCTACGCACAAACAAATAAAGCTCTCTAGTCTTACCTAAATACTTTTCACTATACTTTCCATCTTCACTTGCAAACATTTCTTCACGAGATGTTTTCAATACTTCATAAATCATCACGTTGGCTTCTTCTTGAAACTTGCTAACTGATCCAACCTGAATCGACGCTTGTTGTGAATCAAACATATTTATAATCGAATGCGTTACAAACTCTAATCCGTCGGGGATTCGAACAATCGAATCTAAACTACAAGTTTGTGAATACCTTTCATGAAAGCTATTCAAGATTCGTAGAGTTAATTCGCTCAAGCTTTGGTTCGGTAGATGGGATCCAAAGTGTTCGGTCACTAATCTTTCCATTTCTGATCTCAAGTTGGACTTAAACTTGATTTCCAACACTCTTAAATCGATAGCTTGACATAAACAGTAAAGATGAGAGGCCATGAGCTACAAAAAGGAAATCATTCAGATGATTAGCGTTTGGGTCTGATGACAGATCAAGTTGTAAAGAATTTCTAACCAGTTTGAGAACTTGAACAGCTTCAATCGTCTTACGAGCACTGATCAAAGCAAGTGAGTTCACGGATTGATTATGAGATTCGGCACTTTGAACATGAGTCGTCACAGGTGAAGCAAGGTATTGAAGCTCAGAACAGTATGAAGCAGTAGCTGTGTCGAGTCCCTTGGTACTGAAAGAAACCCATAAATAAACAAGAGTATACACTGATTATACAAAAATAGAATCACTTACTGGTAGTTCGTACTCGGTTCAGAGCCATTCAAACAAGATGGTAACCCCTTATTCATCGAAGGACTAAGTAAAAATAAATGACCACAAGGTAAATATATAATCAAAAAATGATTGATGAGACAATTATTCCGATTACTCAACTTGTTAAGCTCCGTCATTTGAGCAAACATAATTTTTCCAATCGCAGCAAGTGCAAGACGAGTTTTTTCCATAGAAGTAGCCACAGAGGTAGCTTGAAAATTACCACCATGATGAATGATTCCATTCTCTACATCGATCAAAGCTGATGATTTGGAAAAAGGTATTGATCAGTTTGTTTTGTAGGGAAATCTGATGAGGATGATCTGATAGGTCACATACGATTATCTGTAGTAGAGTTCAATTCACGACTGATAGTGGTATGAGCAACTATCAAATCTTCTAATTGAGGACCGATCCACTAAACCACGTCAAATCCAAGAAAAAAAATCAACCTCAAGAGATCCAAAAAGGCTTGATTCAAACTTGACAAAACTCGACTTACTTGAGGTGCGGTTCTTAATGGATAACGATCTTGTCTCAAAGTTTGTTTAGAAATCTCAGCACTAACATCTTTTTCTTCATGATCAGTATGATCGACTAATTGACTCGATTTCAATAATCTATCAATCGTTTCTGCTACTTCGATTTGACCAGGATGAGGTCTAGCAGTGATATGAATAAATCTAAAAGATCCCCCACATCCAACATGAATCAGATTGAGTGTTTTTGAAATCTCAAGAGGTTTGTATAGAAAGATAAGACTCAACGGATGAAATGAACCGATTTGACCCAACATCGCTTCAGTCATCATAGCCGTCAAGACTTGAGACAACATGGCTAAAAAGTGAGAACTATAAAGTGCAATGGATGCAGCAGAAGCACTGAAACTAGTTCCATTGACTAGAGCTAAACCTTCCTTGGCACCGAGTTTGATAGGAGTGATCTTATGAGATGAAAGAATTTCAGCGGATGAAGCAATCACAGGTGGCGATTTACTACCCAAGCAGAAACACCAAGTTGAGATCAGTAAGGATTCTTTGGTTTTTCCTTTTTAAGAAGATTGAAATAAAGACTTTACCTTCGATCAATAGCATATACATCAGGATGACCACACAAGGCAGCAGCAATATAAGACAACGGCGACAAATCACCCGAAGCACTAATCGAAGCTCTCAAAGGCACAATCGGAGTGATATTTAAATTTAACAAATCCATCAACCTATTCAAAACTTCCAATCGGATAGCCGAATGACCTCTAGCCAAAGAATTCAATCGGATCAAAATCGCCCCACGCACAATCGATTCGGGCATCGAATAAAGGTTCAAGGGTTGGTTTAAATCGGATGATGGAACGAGCTGGGATAAGTCTTGGGTTTCGAAACCATGGACTCCTGCTAATAAGTGTTCTAGGATTGAGACTTGTAAGGCTTCTACATCACTCGTTCTGGTATTTGCTGCTGCACCCTGTTGATTTGATTTGATTTGATTGATAGTTCAGATGGAAATCAAAGTGATCGAAAAATCGAAACAGAGTCAGTTTCAGAACTTGGTCCATGATTTCTTTAAAACCAAACTAAAAATGAAACTCAACAAATCCAGTAGTCACTCCATAAACACTCTTGTTAGTCTATAAAACAAACACACCATCAGTTAACCGATCAACATGATCGAAAAGGGAAAAAAAGACTTACACGAGCCGTCATGAATTCATAAGATTTTTGTATCCCATCTTGAACCTCAACATGATCAGACAAAACGACTTTCAAACCTTTATTGATGGAATTTGAATTGATGTTACGAATCAAATCAGAGATCGATAGATTTGAACCATTGATGATGATTTGATGATGATCTTGATTTGATTCTTGAATCGAATGAGTTTCAATTTGATGTAAGATTGGTAAATATAATTCACGATGAAAGGTGGTATTAGGATCATGATGAGTTGGTTGGGAAGACATTTTAATAAGTTTAAAGAAAATGATCTAAATGTTTAAAAAGTTGTGAGGATGAGAATTGAAAGTTTAAGAAATCGAATCTGGTGATCAGGAATGATTTAGAAAACTAAAGATTTTTAAGTAAGCTTGAGTTTGAAGTGGATGGATTATATAATCAGAGACCAGGAACTTCAAATTGCGGTTGGTTGAATGGGTTGATCTTGATGTTGTCTGATTGAAAAAGGTACATCTTTCGTCATCAGGTCTGCTTCTTCGGCTCCACAGTTCATTTGCAGTTCAAAATCCACTCTCATTCCACTCAATCACTCTTCACTCTCACTGATCACTCTCACTGATCACTCACAGCTTCATTTCAAATTCAATTCAATTCAAATCAAACCAAACCAAAACAAAACCAAAATCAAAATCAAAATCAAAATCAAATCATTCTAAATCGGTTAACTCTCATCCCATCTTATCACCATACATACGCATACACCTATCTACAAAGGCTGCCCCACCCTCGGGAACAAGCCTAAAGACCGGTGCTCCACATATCTATTCATGCATTGAATTTGTACAAGCGTTTCGATCTGATCAATCCGAAGCGACTTGATGAGTAAGACTGAGAGACAAAACTTCGAATATGTACATGAATTTGCACAGCTCACAAGAGTCAAGAATGCGGAAATCAAAGGAAATAAAATGTGACATGGGACTTTAGAGGTAAGAGATCAGGACTTCGTCAGCACAAGTTTAGCCACAGGACACTATCTCGAGCTAGAAAGAACGTGCTTTTTGAGACAAGCTTTGATGACGTTGGAAAGGCACATCTTACAGATGTCTTTTGAGAGAGTATGGCTCGAATTCGAGATTGCCGGTAAGAGTGTTGTGAGTGAAGAGTTTGGTGGAGAATTGCAACCAACAGAGGTCTTACTATCATTGGTAATTGTTGGTTGAATGTGTGTGAAGGTGGTTTACCAGAAGACAACAATCACAAAACCACTTCTTTGCTCACTCGTGGCAAGTTTTTGGCCATGATGACCAGAGGGAAACATATGGTCGGATTTGAGTGTGTCAAGAGATTTCCTAGCCTTGCCATCTTAAACGTTACCTTGAAAGATCCAATGCGAGGACACTTTCATAGAAAATAACATGTCCTGCTCATTTCTGGCCTCTCAAGGTAGAGTTTGTCACATGAAGGGATCAGGGAAAGTGGTTTTTGGGAAGTATCCCGTACGAATTAGTTGGAAGGTGGATGGATATCAAAACCCGTTTGTGTTGGCAGTCAACAGTGCTGGAATCTTTGCCTGATGGGTGGTGAGCCGGCTTGTGATTTAGCCGTCTTGCCAGATCTAGTTGATTGCATGTGGTGATTGTTGGTCAACAGAAAGTGTACAAGTGGTCGAGGTCTTTTGGTGTGAATGAGGGTCAATAGTGCAAAAAAGTGTAGATTTGGCAAAGGTAAAGGAATAAAAGCACAACAAGGACATGATGAACAAGAATCAAAGAACACTTGGCCAAAGTCATGCAACAAATACTTCATCCAAGGTAACCCTCAACCTTGCCAAAGAACAAGGAGACAGCCAAATCCTCCTTTCATGAAGCACACTATCACTAGATAAAAGTAAGTCAACATATCAGACAACTGTCCCTACAAAGGCAAGAGTCAAAAGGTACACCTCACTGAATAGGCTCCTCCAATTGCAAGGCCAAGCTCCAAGTGCCATCCTTGAAAACAGAATTATGTGTGTTTGGCACAGACGCCAACAATGGTATCTACATCTCTTCACGCCTGCTTTTTGCCTCAAAAATATATCCTCAAGACAGAATCCACCATGCCCCACTTTGCAGGCTTCTAGAAAGCTCCTCTGATCACCAAGTCTCATTCAATTGTTTTTTTGGGAAACACAAAGTGTCTCTTGTACAGCCAATTTGAGGAAGGTTTCTTTCTTTTTTTCAGAAAAATGTGTTGTCAAAGTGAGCAAAAGTTAAACCAAGCAAAAAGTGTTCTTACAGGTTTTTGTATTCTTTATATTCTGAAAACGAGCAGAGGAACAATACTTGGTCATGAAGAAAATTTACACCATGATGTACTTTTTGAAAGAAAAAAAACTATCATTCTTGATTTGGCTGTACATCTTCCTAACAAATTGATTGATCACCATGGAGCTCAAACTTCCACATCACGGAAATTCACGATCCGACACAGCGAACCGAGTCTCCTACTCAAATCAAACGTTGCACTTTTGGTGCGTACTGCCTGGTGTTATCAAGCCGGGGCTCTTGAGATAATTGAGAATAAGTTATCCTTTACAAATCAAAGTTTGATTTCACAAGAAGTGAACACAGCAAGTGTTTCTTCCTTCAATTCGATTCTAGGACTTGATTTTGATATGAACAAACACAAACAAAGCAGATCATCATTTCAAAGATTTATCAAGATATTCATCATTTTTTTCTTTTGCTTTTTCTCATAAATCTCAATACACATCATTCATACAACAACAACAACAAAGAATCAGGAATGCTGTGTGTGTGTGTGGTAAAAACTAGTTTCAGTTACTTTTACACGGTTATGGAAAGAAATCAGTCAAATCTTGACCCAAGATCGGTGATTTCGGAGACGTATTGATCTTATGCAGAAGCACATGATGTAGGTCTCAAGTATGTACGATTTTTCGCTTCGATTTTTCTGAAAGACTAGAATTGTTTATTTTTTCAAAAGTGCTGTGGACTCGGAGCTGAGTAGTCAACAACTGAATACGAAAGAACGCGTTGAAATTGTTCGAGTTTTTTCAAAGTTGCAACTTGCAAGTGTGTACCACAAATCGGCTATCCACAAACAATCTTTGTTTTGTTTTTCAGCATGATACCAAATAAAGGGGTTCATATGTTCGGCTAAGTCTTGACCCAAATGTTCAATGCAAAAGAATTCACATCTGCTGCTCTGGTATTGCAGATGCGATAGATTGATCAAATGTGATTGAGAACATTATTGGGGATGATTTCTAGAGGTTCCCAAAGTGTGGAATATAGTAATATGATGTTATGAATGTTCTTTTCTTTTTTTTGTTGATTGGTTATTCCCATCAAGTTGATCCTTGAATCTTTGTGACTCGTGAATTTTCTTCCAGTGCGTTCTTTTTTCGTAAAATCTCTCTCAAATCTGTCTTCCAAACCCTAACTCATGATATAGTATCTTTCGACTTGAATTTCAACAATTCTTCGTCGACATCTCATGGGACTATAAACTTGATAGCATCCTGGTCAGTTTATGTTAGAATGGTCATGAGTCTTGCTTGACGCTGAAAATACTATATCAAATCTTTGGTGACAAGTTATCATTATGGTCATCAGATCGACAGCTGGGTATTGGGATTCATCGAAATACAAGCTGCGGATATGACTCTTTCAGACTGGATTACATCATTCCCGAACCCAGAGCACTCCGATGGCAATTGTTACAGTGCCGTACATATTTTCTTTGAGATTTCTGCCCCTTGGGTGGATTTTTGAAAGCCGATTACTGCGAGTCATAGTGACTGGGGAAGCCAGTGGACTCGGTAGTTTGGGATCATGAGGTATACAAAACTGTCACTCTTCGCGACTCGTGATCCAACGCAGCATACATAGCTCATATCTTCATAGTTAGCTATATCTGAAGAGACAACGACCAAAACTGATCTTATAACATTGGAGAGGGAGTTGTCGACCCGATCTGATGGTTTGGTTGAAATGAGTCTTCAACTCTTTTAATTCATAATCTACTTCACCACAAATTCTCCAAAAATGGCAAGTCATATAACAGTTCGATTCTCATGTCACAAATCCACTTGACTTTCTATTCACACAATTATTTTCTGGTCAGTTTTGATTTAGACCAAAGGCCTATGCAGTTTACTTTGGCTTGATTTTATTTTACTTCACCGTGCTCTTATCCCTGTTGGCCTGATTAAGTGTTGGTTGTGGTCTGTTCAAACTTTTTTTTTTGACAGTTTGCATCTTAACTCAGGCCTATCGAAGATCAGGATGAAAGTATTTCGTAATGCCAATTTATATCGATTGTGGAGTCTCTCATTTTATCATCAACTTTTCGATACCACACAAGCAAATAGAGATCTTCATCGGCATACCCATCGGGATCGGTCTCAACACCATCAACTGGTTGAGAGTTCCAAACTGTCAACTTATACGAAAGAACCTTATGCCTCTACATCAACATCGAATTCATTGGCCATGTCATTCATTTTAGGAAACACCACTGAATCTTACCATCCCATTAGCAATGAAGATTTTACGTATCCTGGACGCGTCGGTTATATCTCAATATATTTACCATCTTTCATTTTATCACCTTCAGATACGGGTCCTGCTATCTTATACATTGGCGGTCAGATAGATTCTACAGGAACGTACATCACTAATGACGTGATGATGTTCCGTCCAACAAAGCCCTATCAATCACCGTCATCACCAGATCCTAATCCTCAACTTTTCCCTTTCTTGAGTAACGGATTACCACCGACAGCATGGGGAAGCGGTGGGATTGATCATCAAGGTAAATTATGGGTAATTGGTGGGGTTGTGGAAGATTGTCATCATACTTCTTTGGCTTATGTACGTGACCTGAAGAAAGGAAGTCTTGCGGATTGGACATCTTGGCATCATCACGGGATCAACTCGACCATCAAAAGACGTAGACAAACGCAGGCAGTACGCGTCATTCGTAATTCGACCAATCATCATGCTCAACATTCACATTTGACCTCTGATTTGCGATTTACCAATTCATCCCTCATATCAAATCAATCCACAACGCCAGGACACGCTGAATTTTGGATACTAGGCGGGGTATCTGATCCTTATACCTGTTCAAAGACTTTACTCGGACACCTTGGAGTTGATAAGTGGGATACCCAGAAATCAACGGTGGATCCTCTTCAACTTGATTGCATCCATGCTAATCAGTCAACTAGTTTGAGGCCTCCAATTGCAGACTATTCTGTCACGACTTTATCAAATGACGCTCAGAAAATCATTTATATTGGCGGACAAATGGTTGATGCATCATATGGTAGTATGGAAAACATTCTTGTGTTGGACACTTTACATGAAAAATTGGAACATATTGTGAGAATGAATCAACTTTTTGTCAATTTTTATCAATTTGTGTAAAAATAAAAGCTAAAAAAGTCATGCGATTTTATTGTCTTCTTTCAAAAAGTCAGCTACTGGAGTTACCCCTTCACCACGAAGAGCTCATGCAAGCATTATGGTACCTTCATTAGGCGTGACGTTGGTTCATGGAGGACTTTCTCCCAGTCAGAATGTAACTTCAGATGTTCAAATTCTCAATACGACTTCAATTCCTTGGAAATGGACTGAGCTCAAGATCACAAACCAATCACTTCCTTCACCAAATCGAGCATTTCATTCTATGCATCTCATCTTTCCAAATGTAATTCTCATCAGTTTTGGTATTCAGTCTGAGAACCATTTAGTTGAAGGTCAAGAAGCATTCTTCATCCTTAGATTGGAACCTGACCCTAACTCTGACGACCTTTGGGGAACGTGGTGCACCACCAACGATACGAGAAATCGCAACCCATATATATCCACATACGGCAACTCGCAGCCAATTCCAACCAACTCTCAATCAATACCTCCCTATGACTCCTCTGGGGACGAATCTAACCAATCTGTTTCCCAAGACCAAGATAACGGAAACGCGATATACGGCAATGATCAGGATCATGGCAAACCTAATACACATGGTGGATCACCCTCTAGGTGGCTTCCAGCTCCACCAGCAATTCAAACCACATCCGCCCACGACTCAGATCATACGCTCTCAAAAGATGTTACTCAGCATCAAAAAGCTATAGTTGGTGCAGTGTCGGCAGTCTGTGGATCGTTCATCTTAGGATTATGTGCTTTGCTTCTCATGCGCTCACGTCAAAGGAAACCCGTTCAAAAGTCCGGATCAAATAACCTATATGATCGTAATCAACTTTACACTTCTGAGACCCTAAATTCTACGATCAACCCAGATTTCTTAACACCACTGGCAGCTGTTCAAGTCACCAGACCATGCGCAATTCGAGCAATGACTCTGGGTAGTTCGTTAACTGGGTTTGACGACAGAGACCAGCATCCTATCCATCGAACTGCCTCGTCTTTTGGAAGTGATCGTGGATCTAGACTCTCGAGTTTCAGCATTCAAGAAGAACCTACTGAAGGATCTTTCTTACCCCCTTCTCCGCACGAATCAATTGAGTCTTCTAACCAACAAACACCTCAGAGACCTACTGGCCTACACCGACGTCGTAACTCAAAGGTGACCAAGTCATTCATTTTATCTGAAGCTCCATCACCACAGAGTGACTCTTGGAACGGTTCAAGACCTCCAAGTCAAACTTCTTTCCCTAGTAATGTTTATATAGCCAGTAATCGAATATCCACCAATTTACAACGATCTACTCCTGAATTCGATAGCTCAAGTGGTATTGAATCATCACCAGCTTGTGGGATCCCATCAACATCAGCCCAATGTCATCCAACTTCTAAAGTCTCATCTAGTCCACGTGAATCACTTCATTCTCAAATCTCTGCACGTTCTTATCCATACCTTATGCCAATCTATTCACAAAGAATTCCATCAAGTAATCAATCTGGTACAAGAGAAAGAAATTCGAAATCGAATTATAAAAACCCAGAAATCGATTCTCAATCAAATACAAGAAATCAATCAAACCAAATTGAAGATGATCAGTATAAGACAACTCTATCTAATTCGACTATTAATCCACAAACCGAATTAAAATCATCTTGGTCAATCTCATCTAAAACTTCAGAACAAGTTTCATCAGTTGAAAATTTAAATCAAAATTGGTTAGGAAAGATTAGACCTAAATTTGATTCTTGGATCTTTGCTACTACTTCAGCTATTAGGAAATCTATGGTTATTGAAAATGAATCAAAAGATAAAAATAAACATGAAGAGAAGGAGGAAGAAGAACAAGAGGTTAAGAAGATTGAAAAACCGGATGATGTGATTTATTCTGAGAATCAAGTTGATGATCCTACTAATTATTTAAGTCCTTCGATTGTTTCGAATCGGGTACTAAGAATTGCCAATGGTTCAATTCATTCTTCTCCTGCATTATGATATTGTATAATTATAAACTTTTAATTTGTTTGATTTGGTATTTCGAATTGTATATATTTAAAGTTACCTATTTGATGAATCACATCTTGAGAAGGATTTAGTAGGTTTAAATTATTTTGTATATCACTTTATCTTACAGTGAAACAAATGTGTGATAGGGCTTAAGAAAATAGTAGTGTCAGGTTTTTTAATAATTTTTTTAACATTACGTTCATTGAAATCTAGATAATCTGATCCAGAAACTAGAGAGAAGATAGATTTGACTTTTCTTTAGGATATGATTAGCTTGAGTCCGAGTTTGCATTGATTGTTATTTTGTAGAATAACATGTTATGAACACTTAAAATACAACAATGCTAATTATTGAGTGGCACATTTGTTAGAATATTCATCAGCACTATTGATGGTACATATCGTGTTTGGATTCTTCTTCTGACATAAATTCACCTGGCGTTCAACACCTAACTTGTCAATTGTTTGCTTGAGGAATTATGGAGGTCATCCCACGAGAACATCACAATTCCAAGATGTATGATGAGAGTAGTATTCTGTGGGACATATCAATTGGAATTTTGATATTCTTTTTCAGAATAATAACATTTTGTTCTGAACAGGTTTTTCAAGTTAATTTTTTCCCAAGTCTTTGCTGCAATCCTGAACACTCATGATCAGTTGAAGTCTGAAGATGAGTGACTGATGTTAGTTACATACGTAGACGACATGTAAGCTGTATGATCATGTGATCTGACTTGAGAGGGTTGTGTAACTGTAAATTAAGAAATGAAAAAAAGAGATCCAAGACTTGAATCGATGATGAAGTGCATACAATCTGAGACAACTCCACTTCACTTCACTTAATCTCAAAAACCAACTCAATATCATCATCACCATGACCGAACTAATGGACCAAAACATAAGTCGAGTCAAAGAAGTCATGGGAGACACATATTCCAATGAACAAATCATCAAAGCATTAAACTTTCATCAAAACGATTTTGAAAAAGCATTAAATTATCTTTTAGAAGGACCACACGATCAAGAAATCCAAACCGATTCAACCGATCAATTACGTCAATCTATCTCAGATGCATTTCATTCAAATCAGAAATCTAATCCTTCAAGTTTTCCTTGGGATAATCGTGAAAGAAATCTGATGACGACGACTTGGGGTGAACCGGATATTCAATTACCACCTTCACCTAAACTATCTTCTTCTAATCAACAAAAGTGAGTTGAATCAAAATTTGTTTTAGGATGTTTCTTCCGGAATTCGATCATTTGTTAATCAATTCCATTTCCTAGTGCTCAGCTAGATGTTAGCAAAATTTGGGATTTAGATCCATCTGGATCAAATGAGCTTCCAGCTTTGATTTCCGAAACAGAACTAGAAGAAAGTCGAGAACCATTAGTTCTACCAAGTTCACCACCCAAGGGATCTTATCAACCAATGACAGTAACGGGTAGTCTAACCCCCACCGAAGTGTTCAGTTCATCCCAACCTCCTCGTTCTACACGACCTGGACCGGTGACTCGATCGTCGAGTTTGATTACCGTTCCTACGAAAAACCAATCTGAGAATCAAGCATCAACCAAAGGGATTTCAGAACCATCAGTTCCAGTGATGTCATTTGAAGATCAATTAAAAGCAGCCATTCGTGCAAGTCTCGAACCCAATGGACAAGTCATGAATCTAAACCAATCTGAAAATGAACCTATTAAAGAATTAGGAACAGAGGAAGAACAGATGAGTAAAGCTTTAGAAGAAAGTCTGGCGATGAGTAGTTCTAGAACTCTGGAAAACTCTGGAAGGTTTCTTCATCCTTATCCTACTCAAAGGGTTCGAGAACTTGGAAAGTGAGCGATACGATACACAATTCAACAAGTATGATACCAAAAACATGATGTTCTAATGTTTCTGTTTCAGGCCAGTTGCTTTACGAGTTCAAAACCCACATCTCGTCTTTCTTCCTGCTGTTTTGAATGTTTTGTATGCAGCTAAACCTTTCAGGGATCGGATTTTAGCTTTCAAACCACCTGCAATCCCTGATCTTCAACCTTTGGTAGACCATGATGTAGAAGGCTTATGGAAGGGAGAAAGTAAATGGCGAACAGAAGATTCTTGGTCTCCAGAACCTTATCCTATAGAACGTCAGTGATTTTGTTTTGTTTCCCCTAAGCTTTGAATTTCAATCAGAATGGTTTCCCAAATCATTACAAATCTGACTAAGATTTTCTGATTTTCTTTTTCAGTTATTTTGGCTGTACAAAGATTATTTGCATTGATGACACATTCAAAACGGTCTTACTTGGATGTCAGAGAGATATCTTTATGTATGGGATATGAAGAAGGCGAGAATATTGTTTGGTCACTTAACGAACCTAATAAGGGATGTCATAAGGCATATGAAACGATAGCAGAAACATGGAAAGAACTTTGTTCGGATCTGTATCAACAACTGAAATTAGTGGAAGGAGGTGATACTGAGGAACACGCTAAACAATACGAAGATGAGAAAAGGTAAAGTTCTAATTGGATCATGTATCTAGAATTGATGATCAAATGACTCGAACAAAGTTGACATATGTTGAATCTTTACAATTCTTTCATTATAGATTGTTTCATTGGCGAGGTCATAAAATGTCATTACCATTACCGGATACAGAAGTTCAAGTTCAAGCTTCTCAATCCGATAACTCAACCACATGTCTTATCCTAAACACGATGGGTTCAGCGCTCAATGATATTTATTCAGGCATCGATGCACAAGTATGGTTACCAGAATCGAATTCAGCTCATTTCTTAGACGGAACTTCACAAATCATTGCATTTGAAATCGATCGAAAAAACCATAATAACTTTGGATGGACTAATGATTCGAATACTTCATGTTTATCTACTTTAGAACAAAGAAAACCGTTCGGATTGGAATCTGAATTTTATGTGGATCGATATTTGCTTGACAAGAGACATGTGATCACTGACTTAAGGGAAGAGATTAGTAAGATCGAAGGTGAAGCTGATGTTTCGTTAGTCAGACGAGATCAGCTGGCGAAAGCCGGGGTGAATGAATAATTTATATCTTATATATGTTGGAGACTTTTCTCTTTCTTTCTGTTTTCCTTTTTCTTCTTCTTTTTTAGTCGGTTGATCAGTTTTTTTCTTCTTCTTGATTTGATTTGATTCTGTTGTGATATCAAGATATAGGTTTGAAAGAAACAAAAAACTGATGATTGGTTTTGTTTTTTGATCATTTGCTTTTCGTAGGGTAAAGATGTGGTTTCTAACTTGAAATCAGTCGTCGATTATTTATCTCAAGAAAGTCAATTTCCAATCACTACCTCTACAGAACGTGAATCTCAAAAGAAAGAAATGTTACCTAAATTTCGAGCCGCTTTAGAGAAATTAGAAGCTGAAATCACCAGTATGTTTATCTTGATCCTCATTCTGATGAAATACTATTCACGGTGGATGATTTGATAACCTATGTAGGTCTTGAGTTAAAAGCTGCAACTGCTCAAGCTGCATCAAAGGCAGTTTTTGACATACCTCAGATGAAAGAAGTCGGACCTCATGATTTATGTGCAGTGGTAGTTTCAGATGGATTCGCAGGAAGAGATCATATGTGGACTTATACTAAAGCTGATGACGGAAGTTGGTATAAGATTCTTGATAGACAAATTAGCTCTGTTAGTTTATTTGCTTTCACTTTTCAAATTCTTTGTCAATTCTAAGCTCAAATTCGAATCTTTCTTTCTTAATCCAGGTCACACTTGAAACCGTTTTGAATGATCCAGCTGGGATCCATATGAATGGTGGTCATATCTTTGCACTTTATGTTAAGAGGTCTACTCCAGAAGAATCATCAACTGAATCCGCAAGTATCCCTCTAAGACCATCACTTGAAGTAAGTCAACAAAATAGTATAAACTACTCCTTGAAGAGAACTCATCTTAAACTAAGTTTTTTTTTGATTTTTGGGTTAGGCTGCAATTATGAAAGATAACGAAGAGTTTGATAAGGAACTTTCAGAGGCTGCGACCATCCAATTAACGAACCCATTGATCAATATGACTGATTTTAATCAAGATGTGAAGGTTATGGATTTAGATTCACCTAGGTCTGATGTAGCAGAAGCCGATGAATTAGGATCTGAATCTGATCCATTAAGATTATCTGGTGGTAGTGGGTTAGATCAGTATGATGAAGATGAAAATGAAGATGAAGATGAGGAAGAAGAAGAGGAAGAGGAAGAATGTGATTTAGTTGAACTTGGGTTTTTGAAGTCTATGAATGGTCAGAAATTGGATATTAAGACTATGACTGGAAAGATTGGAGGAAGACCTGTAAGAGTTTGGATTCACTATGTTGGAATGAGGTTGAACATTAACTTTTCTTTTTGGGTTTTTTAGATTTGGTTGGATCCGAAGATGCCATTGGAGAATGAAGCTGTCAAATGTTCGACTTGTTCTGAACCTATGGCTTTTCTTTTACAGGTAAAATATCGTACTCTTCTCTCTCTAGTCTGTAAAGTTGGTTTTGTACTGATTTAGATTCAATAGATGAATGCGCCAGATGATGAAAATCCTAATGCATATCTAAGAACGATTTATATATTTATTTGTCGAAAGATGAAATGTATTGAAACCAATCGATCAGGAGGATTGAAAGTTTTTCGATTTCAAGTTTCTGAAGAAGAATCTGATTTGATTTCATCCGAAGAAGAAGAAGAAGGGAAGCATGATGGATTGGTTTTGGATAAAGAGTTTCGTGAATGGGAATTGGTTTGTGATGAAGAACCTGAAGATACGATTGTTGAAGGATTAAAACAATCTGGTAGGTGTCTTTCATGATGATGATAATGTTATTTTTTGTGTTTGAAAATGGAGAATTGAATTTGGATTTGGATTGGATTGTTATAGCAATCTCAACGTGTAACGAACTAGAATCGAAAACAGATGAAGAAGATGCTAAGATGAAAGACACAAAAGCTCCAGTCGATCTTACATTCTTGAAATTCCAATCACGTTTATCAAGAGCGCCAGATCAAATCTTACGGTAAGTCAACCAAACATCATCATTCGAAAATAAAAATTCTAGTCAACAATCTATTAAACTTCGTACCGAAATGGTGAATTGGTTTAGGTATTTAAAAGTCACTGAACCGGCTATTAAACCATTATGGGCATCTGATCAAGATTCAAACCGGTTTGAAGAAGTTCAAGTTTGTGGGAATTGTGGTCGATCGAATTTGATGATTGAGTTTCAAATCCTTTCAACTGTTTTGAGTTCATTAGGAATTGAAGAAAAAGAAGACGTCAAGACTGGACTTGATTTTGGTACGATTTTGGTTTATACTTGTGAAAGGTCTTGTGAGAAAAGAGTAAGAGGTGATGGGAAGGGATGGGTTCAGGAAGTGGGCTTGGTTCAGATGTTTTCTTTGGATGGTGTTAAGATTTAGTTTTTCTTTGGAAAGAAAGAGATGATGATTGTATAAAATGATATGGTTGTAGAAGGTTTGGTTTGGTTGGTTTTTTGGATTTGATGTGAATTTGAATGATGGGGTTTAAATTATTCTTTGATTGAGATTCTAAAGAGAGCTAGTTTAATAGAGACTTGATTTTGACCTTTCAATCAAATTATTCCTTTTAATTTGTTTTGATATACAACAACATTTCCAAATAGCAATGAGTTCGTTGTTCAACAGACAACATCAAACCAATGTTAAATTTGTGAGGCAAGAGTCAGTTCTTGGCTCATGGAGAGTATCCACTTAATTGTTGGGATGGGATTAAGATTCGGTAGTGATAGTGATAGTTGATATTTTGATGTTAAGTGTTACATAAGTTTAAGTGATGGTTAAGTTTGTATTATAAGTTGAACTAGTGCTAATCCAAAACTTGAAAAAAGAAGAAAAACAAAACAAAATGTTGAACAAAAAGAACAATCAGATTCTCAAGAAAAAGAACATTCTCAAGAACAAGAACATCAACTTGATAAGATTGCTACGATTCAATATCATCTTTAACTTGATTCACTTTTCAATCTCTCAATCAACTTCAACTTTAATCGAAATTAACAATTTACCATTTCTCAATACCACTTCAATCTCAACTTCAATCTTATATCATTTACCTCCACCAAGAACAACAACAACAGAAAAAGAAACATCAGATTTGATTTATATCACTTTAAATCTTTGTTCACCACCACTTTCTAAATTAAATCAAGTTCAAATCGAATATGATAAGATCTTAATCATATCAAATTCGACTGTCAATCAATCTCCTAATCCAAATCATTTACCAACTCATCACAAACTAGGTTCAACTGCTTCTTCTTACCTTGGCTTTGCTAATCTGACCATCATCAATTCGGTCGGATTATGGATTTATCTAAGGTCTCCTACACCTGATGATCCTCAAGCTTGGTCAATTCAATTAGCTATAGATCATCAACCGATCCATCAAGTCAACTCCTTTCCTGCATTCAAAGTCGAAGATACAGATCAAACTAATGCTCTCTTGACAGGATCAGATTCAAGTTTATATCAACCAATAACAGACACATCTCCATTGCAAATCAAAGATTTTTTCCCATTCATCATCAAAACTCCTTCAAGTTTTCCACTCGGATTATCTTCTTCTTTATGTGCTATACAATTATTGAATTCTTCTAGTACAACTGAATTGGTTAAAGTCAATCAAATTCAAACTTCTTTAACAAATCGAAACTTAGGTATCGATTTACCTTCGTCTCAAAATACTGGAATTAAATTAGATAGGGATTTTAGAGTCTCGGATCTGGTCGTTGGTCAACGTACTCAGTATTGGTTACAAGGTCTTAGTGCTGCCACTAATTATACTGCTTGGCTCTTTCAACCTGGTTTGGTGATTAATAATCTTCAAACTGGTAAACTTTGGCCTTATGTGAATTTTAAAACTAAAATCGGTAAGTTTTTTCTTTCAAGATTTGATCAAGAAATCCTAAATTTTGATGTTGATTGTTTGATTTGTTTGATTTTGTTTAGCTAATAATTGTAGACTATTACGTGATCTTTCATTTTGTCCAGAACTAGCATACTCAGTCCCATCACCACCATCAATCTCAACACCCGACCTAATCACCTTCTATCAATCACAACTGATCCCCCACCTCCAAAACTTCTCAACCGTCTTAAACACCTATCCCTGTAACAATGATTCTTCTGGCAGGTATTCGTTTATCACCGGTTGTGGTGATTGTTTAAAAGCTTACACGAATTGGGTTTGTGGGATGATCTTACCTAGGTGTACTGATTCACCTTTCTTGATGAACTCTTCTTTTCAAGATCTTCAAGACCCTTGGATACCTCAATTAGTTTTAAACCGAGCCGATCTTTCTAAATCTAGAACTCCTACCTTACTAAACCTTACCAACTCTCCTTCATTCTCGTATGGTGAAATCCCTCCTTGTATTGAAACATGTGATTATGTAGCTGCTACTTGTCCTCCGTTCTTCGGTTGGAAATGTCCTTCAAGACAGTCTATTAGTTCGGCTTATGGGTATACCAAGTATTTGAATTCGATTGATTTACAGGGTGGGGATGAGAATGGGAATCGGATGGGTGGCTTTAGGTCTACTGATCGGTTCGGGAACGTGTTTTGTAATGCATTAGGATCTGATTTGAATTTTGATAGGATGGGAAGTGCTTCGGATTTAAGGTTTCAGTGGTTGGGTTTGGTTGGATTGATTGGGTTTCATGTTGGAGTTCAAGTCTTATTGAATCTTTTTTGAATGAATGAATGAATCAATGAATGAAGTTTTGATTTAAATATATCAATCAATAGATAGATTTTTTTTATATAGAATTGTTGTAAATATGCACACTTTCTTCTTTCTTTTTCTCTTTTTTGATTATTTTATCATTTGTTTTGATCAGCTTTTTTTTGCAAGTTTTTTTTTCATATGCTTTTATATTCAAGTTCCTTCTAAAAATCATATCTTATTCATCAATCATACTTTTTTTGAATTTCTTGTTGATTTTTCTTTTGGTTCTTAAGGTTATAAATATATGTAAATATATACATAGGAGATTCATTAATCAATCAAATTATAGTTGGCTTTTTACTTTTTTGAAGACATTAAGAGAGTTGTGGAGTATCTTAAGTAGGATTCGTGAGAAGATTACAAATCTTTGCTTGAACTTGAAGGTTTATCCTCCCCTCCCAAAATAGATCACAACAAATCCGTTTCTGAAAAGTTTCAGTTAAGTCTTAAGAGAGAGGGTTTTTCGTAGTAGTGTACCAGGTTGGGAATCGTGATCAATTGAGTATGTGGAAATGTTGTTTGGGTCAGTGGAATTCATCATATTCATTTCAGAAATTATTGAAAGTTTTGGTCTTTCATCATTCAAGAAAACTTTTGGAAAAAGGAGAATGAATTTCAATCAAACTTGAAAAATAATCTCTCTATTTTTTGTTGAGTGAAAACATTGGATTTAGTATTCTTTCATTGGTCAAATGAATTATGTTCAATTCGACTTTTCAGTGATTTTTTTTTCTCTTTTTCATATTTTGTTCCAGTGATTGTATAGAGAATAATTTCAAGTTCTCATGATTTTAGTTTAGTTCATTCATTTTGTTTGTGAAAAAAAATGATTTCCAATCTTATTGAAAAGATACTCATGAAGTGATGAAGAAAGAAAAAGAAAAACCATCCATTCAAATTTGAAGAAACCACAAATCAAGCTTACAATCCGATCATACTGTGATTTTAATTCCTTTGTCTTTTCTTTCTAGGTTCAGGAAATACTAAAGGTACACTTAATCTAGCTAATCTTTGTTTATCAATCTCTTTAGTATCTTTACCTAATTTCTTGGCTTCTTCCATTTGAACAGTTAATTCACCTGAAGATAATTTATCAATTTTACAACCTAAAGATCTAAAGATTTCAGTTAAGCTACAATCATTCAAACATACAAATTCGTTAGTGTTTTTGTTTGACTGTTTGAAATTCTGGATGATATTCAAGTATAAGAAACTAAGGAAAACTTACGATTTTTTATCTTCTTTTAAATCGTCTGCTAATTCAGTTATAGCACAAGTATATTCTTCATGAATCAAACACAACGTACAAATATAAGACAATAATTTCCTATTGGAAAAGGTAGTCATCAGGAATTCTTGAGTACCTAATTCTTTTTCTGTAAACCTTTCAAGTAAACCATCCAGAATCGAATCAGGACACGATTCACTTCCATCTCTCTTACCCGACAAAAGTTCTTTTAATTTATCTTTTTTAATCTTAAATCGATGATGATGAAATTTAATTAAATAACTTATATACACTAAGATCCTTAACCTTTGTTCTTCTTGTTTATTTAATTTTCCTTCTGGATATCTATTCCAACATGATTCGATTCGTTTATTAATAAAATTCGATTTTGAGTTTGGTAAGTTTCGGATAGCCTGTTCTGGTGATGAACAATAAGTGATATGTGCAATCGGAATCGAATTTAATTCAAGATTAGTGACTACATCTGATAATTTATAAACTTCTTTAGGACTAGTAGCATTTATATTATAAGGTGGTATAGGTTTTTCAGATTCGATTCGATTAGCTTCTTGAATCGAATTAGTCAAGGTGATCGAACTAGTCGTAATAGCTTCTTTCAAATGACTTTGAACATGCATCATACTATCAGGATCAATCGTATCTCTTGCAGCAGCTTGAATAGCTCTTCTAGCTTTCTTACTACCAAACGTAGTACCCAACATATTTCTTGAAGCCTTATGAGTCTGATGACCTTCTTTTTCCTCGTCTTCTTTTTCTTCTTGTTTTTTAAGATTGATGGCATCTTTCAGTTGTTTAACTGTTGGTCTTAATTCATGAAAACTTGTGGGAAAGAGTGTAAGAGTTTGGTCTTGAATCGAATGTAATCCAATTAAATAATTACAATTCACATCAGCGGTTGATTGTCGATTGGATTCGAATTCTAATTGATCGGTTTCTCCTGCTAAGATCTTTGTGGCTTTTGGGTCTACTTTATGAGCGTATAAATTGAATGGGGTTTTTATATCGGGTTTCACATCTGGAAATTTGACTGGTTTGTTTGATTTATCATTGAGAATCAAAAAGAAATCAGTTCAAGATTTTGATTTCGAAAAGGTCGACTATCAATCATCACTTTACCTAATGCTGATCCAAGATAATTTCCTTTATTACTTTCACCACTTAGTTTCACTGTGACTTCTGATTTATTACTTTGATTTGATCCTGAGATTTGATTTGATTTTGAAGTGGATTCATGTATATTTGAACGTTTTGATTTCTTTGGTTTTGGAGCTTGACTCATTTTTGAAAATCAATCAATTGGTGAGTCAGTGAGTGAGGATTGGAGAAGTTGAACTTTGGATTTTTGTAAAACTTTTTGAAAAAGAGTTCGAGTTCACAAAAAAACAGATCAAAGATTTACATATGACATGTGCATCAAAGTTACAGTTACAGAACTTACAGCTACGATGACATATGTCGAAAGTTCTATTTTCAACCTGTAATCATCTTTCTATGTAACTAGCGGATAGGCGGGCCCGCCCGCTAATTCAAGGTCAAACCCACGTCCAACACTTCAACCCCCAATAGAGGCCGATAAAATATGTAGCAGCAGATTAAACAGGGTGGTCGAAAAAGCATGCTTTTGAGATGTTGTCTAATTCTGGTCTAACACACATAAGATAAAAAACCCCTCATAGTGATGTTTTCCTACAGGGTCCTCGGGGTTAATGACTGTTGGTGCTTCAAGGATCTTGGATCTCCTAGGAGTTCCATTTTCACTGTTTTCTGCCTTCTAGAATACATAGAGAGGAAGACAATCAGTCTTGTTGACTGAACTCAAGCAAGATTTGTTTCAATAAGATCCACCCACCTTGTCCCTTGCAATAGATTTGGTATGTATGTACCTGTTTTCTATCAGTCTTGGTGACACATCATCGAAGATGTGAATATGAACAAACTGGAATAAAAAATTGATGATTCATATCTTCTGAAACATCAAATTTTAGCTAGATAGACCATTTGCTTTTGATCGGTACAATTAGCCTGAAAATCTTGCGTTGATGATTTGAAAGACCTAATTTCAGGATTCTAAAGTTCACAGAGGTAGATATCAAGAGTTATCGAGGTAATGGTGTTTCTACACAAAAGGTTTAGAAGCTTTCGATTGAAAGTCACACGAAGTGCTTTTCAAAAGTGATATCAAGTGCTTTTCTGATTTTTAAAACTTTATTTTGTGTATTAGAACCGTAGGTCAAATGGGTAATTGCTTTTTGAGATTGCTTTTGAAAAAATTGAGGCGCGAAAAGTTTGGAGAAGTAGATATCGAGAGATTTCAAGGTAATGGTGTTTTGACAGCAACAAAAGCACCGGAGGCTATTGATTGGAAGTCGAAGGTCATACTGTTTGAAAGTTCTCTTGAGTGCTTTTTGAAATTTTCGAAATTCAACATATACCTCAGGATCAAAATCGATAGCGAGGAAATTTCATAGCTGCATAAGAAAGTGCCAGGTCAGGCAAAAGACACGACCTGTAAACGTCATCTTTGTGGGACCGGTGAATTCGGAAAGTGTAAATGAGAAATGCATACCAAAATGCATACCGATGCTAGATGAGAAAAGCATAGCAATGAGCTTTTGGATCAATTGTGGCAGCGGCCGCCTTTGACAATAAAAGCAAAACCAATCGAGGCAAGAGCTTTTGAAAAAGTCGAGTCTGAGGCTCTGTGGTAGACAACTGCGCATATATGGTGAAGGCTTTTCAGGAAATGCATGAGACAACCTGCAAGATAGGGGGAAGGAAAAGGTATAAATAGAGGACATCATCGGAATAGGTGAGTCGGCATCATTCAATGCTACCCACGGCTACACCCAGGTGAGCCTCAAGTGGGAAGCGGCGAGATCCCGGTTGCTCACTTCCCCAGATGCTGAAGCCCTGTCATCGTAACAGGTTTCAGTGATCCCGGGGGGGTGAATCCGGATTTAAGAATATTAATAACTATTGAGATTGGTTGTTGATGCTTTGAATCCCAACCAAATCTCAAGAGATCATCTGTATAGCATCTCAATCAAATCATCTTGCAAAATCATTCAAGTCAGTCAAAATCTACTCCTATCTAACATCCAGATTCCCATCATACTTGCATGTCTAAAGTTCATACCATAACACCCAGTAGTAGTACCTTGCAGTTTTGTAGACTAATGACTTTCAGCAACTCAACTTTCCCAAAACTCTTGTTGAGGCACACCATGATCCAAATCATTGTTTGGTTGAAGCTATAAAACCTTCTAAATGTTCATCATTTTGCTAATGTCAATTTTTTTTGTAGTCAAAAGACGTGAAAAACTGTATTGGCCTGATGGTCTAGTAGTATGATTCGCCCTTCGGAGATCAACACTCCCTTGTTTGATGCAAGTGATTGGGCGAGGTCCCGGGTTCAACTCCCGGTTAGGCCCTTTTTCTCAGTTGTAGCTTGCCTTTTGAAGTGTGTGTGATCATTTGTTTTTAGGGTCTGGCAAAGTATGGAAGAAATTGTAATGTAGGAAGGTCTGTGTGGTGTGATTTTTGAGCTTTGATTCTGATTAGATTGTATTGGAATATGGTGTCAGTCTGGTGATTTGGAGACTCAAATTCATTATTCTTGAGAATGATTGAGCCATCAATTGACAGATATCATATGTTGAATCAGATTACAAATAACATTTGAGGCAATATAGACCTGCTTTTTTGGCACTATTCTGTGAATTTGAACTGATTTCTGAGGAGCAGTCTTGTTTTTATCAAATATATGTTTTCTAGCAATTACAAATTCAAAGATTGTTCAAGTAGAATCTCTTGGTTACTGTTTGTAATCAGGCATTGGGCAAGGTTTTTTTTTTGAAATTTTTGGTTGCTAGAACCAATTCAAACATAGTTCAGATTTCTTGGATTCCTGAGTAGCCATTGTTGACACAATATCTATCAAAGCCACCAAAAGCACAGCAAAAACAATATTTCTTGTTTTGCTTGGCAAAATGTTTCTAAAATTTTATCTGGCATAGAGCATCCTTGCTTAATCTGTAAAAGCCACAAGCCCCAATTGCGCCACAAAAGGAGCCTTTCAGACATTTCACAGATACCTTACGCCAGGTCCCCCGTTCTGAATCTACCCGGGTATCCCCCATCAGCCGTGATCCAATGATTGCTTGGTTGACCTCAGCTGTATCATCCGGCCCCTGGCAGTTGATCAAACACATCGCGGTTGCTGAGCCAAACATGTGGTGGTCTGTTTGGTCCCTCCCTCACCCTCAGGTGTGTTTGAATTTAGTGAAGCTTTACATGTACTCAGCAGGGGCTTCAAAGAATCTGGTACAGATTGTACCCCCTTGTCATCATGCCTAGCTTGCCTTGTAGGCTCCAATTCCTTTTGGTCCAACAAGGGTTTTTTTGGCCTAGACAAATCTTCATCTGAGTAAGCTGCCATTTGAGTATTTCAGATTTCCTTGGTTACTTTTGTTCTGTCTTCATTCATAGTTGTCTCTGCACTGAAATTCAAATGATGTGCTGGCTTGCCAGCTGCTTCTTTCTTTTCAATTTGATCAGACAAGAAACACTCAAATTGCGGGTGTGTTAATGAGTGTATACACTCTGCCAAGGGTGCCACTATACTATACTGGTATGGGTATAGTTGGGTATAGTATAGTTTAAATTGTACTATACTATACTCAGTATAGTATAGTTGGAACTATACTTTTCTCAACTATATTCAGTATAGTATAGTATAGATGAGTATGGTTGTACTATACTATACCAAGTATAGTTCAAGTACAGTATAGTTGAACTATACTATACCGAGTTTAGTCACAGTATAGTATAGTATAGTATAGTGGCAGCCTTGACTCTGCCACACTGGTTCTTTGCCCGCTTGTCAAGATTCTTAGCATGCCTCACAGGCTCCTCCACTGGGGTCCTTGAGGTGTTGTTCAGTCTTGACAAAGTTGATTCAACAACTGTAATGGATGTGTCAATTTTCTTCAGTTTTCTATCATGCCAGTCAATTAAATGGTGATTTTGTTTAATCCTGGGCATTCCTAGAATGTTGTCATATTTATCCTGTAGTTCTGCAATGATAAAATTTGTCATTGATGAATCACAGGTATTAACTTTAAGATCTACTGTGTGAGTGATTTTTGATTCATGACCACTAAATCCAGTTACACTTTGGATTTGTGGTAGCAGTTTGGTGATGAATTTATGAGTGGATGAAAAGTGTTCACTCATAGCTTCATGTGTAGCTTTGATATCCACTAAGGCTCCTGCTAGGATAGGTGTGGCACTCTCAACTTCAAATAAAGTAAAAATATACATCCTTCTTGTGTCTTTCATTTCAAGTGAATTGATGATACTACAGTTTTTGGTTAAGGCAATACTGCTCGGAGGAGGCACCACTAGCACCCCAGAGCGTCTCCATTATTTAAGGCCTCAAATCTTCCTCCAACTTTCTTGTCTTCTTTTACAGCATCAATTTCAGCAACTCTACTTTTAAATTTACCAAACCCTCCTCTTCCTCTCCATGTTCCCCTACCCCCTCTGCTTCTCATTGTGGGACAATCTCCAATGTAATGATCAGTTTTTCCACAATTGTAACACACTCCAGCTAATCCTTGTCTCTTGTACTCATTGTTTGAAATGTTAAGTTGGTAAGCAGAACAATCCATAGCATTACTTATATTTTCAACTCTTTTATATATTTAATCAATCTTCTTCTTGCTGATTACTAGCGCATTGGGGCGGCTTGCCGCCCTTGAGGCCCACAAATATACCAGCTGAGGTGCCACGTACATCACCGGGCCAACCGTCCACACCACATCGCGCCAAGCCTCGCCCAATGTAAAATTCCACGCCTCCAGCTGGCGCCGGCAATAGCCCCAAGCAGGCGGGACTGAGCATTTACAGTGTTTGCCCAAGCCCGGAGTGCCAGCTGCCGAACACTACGTGAAGGATAGGCATTATCACCTAAATTCCACGATTTGTTTGTGCCATCATACCAACGTCGCTCTACTGCCGTAGATCCCCACCTCACCTTGCGTCAATATCGCTCAAGGATGGGTGCTGTGGTCATGTGTGGTTGCTCGTGATGATTACTATCTCACTGACCCCCGTAAAAGGAGCCGAACCCCACGTTTGACAAACATTACCTAACGCGCATTTGTATAAAGTTCTTGACGAACTGATTCAAAAGAATCCTAAGGGTGACACTGCTTATTCGAGTCTGTAGTTCTAGTCAAGAAACAACCTGAGGGCACAAGTTTTCGCGTAAGACTACAGCTCTATGCTTGGTCAACGTCGAGAAAACTAGACAAACCTGAGGGCACAAGTTTTTGCGTAAGACTACAGCTCTATGCTTGGTCAACGTCGAGAAAACTAGACAAACCTGCGAGCTCGAAGAAAGATGAGGAGCGCGCGTAAGATAAAATGAAACAAAGTAAAATGATATAAAATTGATTCTTTTTGACACCCTTTACTAACCTGAGGGCACAAGTTTTCGCGTAAGACTACAGCTCTATCAAGCCTGGCTCGCAGCGCTACGTAGCGCTACTAGCCAGGAAAACGTTAGGGTAGTTACGGAGTAAACCCACAAATCTTGGTAGCTTTAGCGGTGACGAAAAAAAAAATCGGACCAAAACCATAGCAAAAAGCGTAAATATTTCCGCCGCGCTACTCAGCGTTACTAGCAAAAAGTGTTTATTTATTTATTTTTGAAGATGAGAAAAAAACAAAGGTGAGAGTCAACATAGTGTAAACAAGTGTAAAGAAAAGGCAAAGTAACAGTGTAGAGGAGTGTAAAGAACAAAAAACAATAAAAAAGATTTTTTGATAAAAAAACTCAAACACGAGTTTGGTGGTGTGGAAAGCAAACTCCATCCAACCCTCTTTCTTTTATATCAATGCCAAGCACCAGGTAGGCCTCATACAGAGCTTTAATTGCCGAGCTCACATTGTCATCCTCAAGGCCTGTTCCAGCTTCAAACACATCATTATTAAATTTAAATCTATTTCATACCAGAGTTGAACTATATGAATTAAAGGATAACAGAAAATTAACAATAATAATTAAAGATGACCTTCTTTGTTTTTTGCATTATATCATTTATAAACTCATTGAGTTCAGTTAAATTCAAATCGATCACAAGTTTATAGTCTCATTATTCAATCTCTGTAGAGTCAGGATCAAAAATGCAAATGAATCGAGGTGGATGCGATGGGAGGTGAAAACTTAACAATTGATTGTTCTATATTGAGGAAGCAATCATATAAAACAAAGAATGAATCAGTAAAGAAGAAAAGACAAAGAGAACATAAATGAATTACTTACTTAAATGAAGACCCTACAATCAAATACGAAATGAAATGGATCTTTGTCCTGGTATGAACAGTCAGAATCCAAATTGATGAAGGCAAGATCTAATGAAGAAGGATTCAAGAAAATAACAGAGAAAGTCAGTACAATGAGAGAGTGGAGAATGAAATGAGGACTTACTTGACATGATCAACAGTCAAAATCGAGATTGTCTTGGATCAAGATGAGGGTAGGGGTTGAAAGTGCCAGAATCGAATTTGAGAGGAGGGACTGGGTTCAATTTTTGCATACAAACCTATGATGCACGTAGAGAAACAGGCTGGGATTGAAAATTAATTGAATAATAGATCGATTTCAAGGTGAGTAGGGTGGTGAGTCGAGAGAAACGGTGGAAGGAGATGGCTGGAAATTGTGTGGGCTGACTGCAATTGAAGATAGTGGAGTAGGGGAAAGCGTACCGGTAAAAATCCCAATCCAGAAATCCTAGCGCAAAGCGTAACGGCTGGATTTTTTGAGACCCGGGTAACGCAGTGGCCACGCCCGGCACTACGCCACGCCGCGCTCCGCGCTACTTTCTGCGCAGCGAGCCAGGCTTGGCTCTATGCTTGGTCAACGTCGAGAAAACTAGACAAACCTACAGTCATCACAAGACAAGAATAAAGAGTGAAAAACAAGAAATGAGATCAGAAAGATAATGAGAAGTCTGATCTAGAAAGAGAAGTCACTACCTGCGAGCTCGAAGAAAGATGAGGAGCGCGCGTAAGATAAAATGAAACAAAGTAAAATGATATAAAATCTAATCCAGAGTGATGTATCAGTAAAAACGTAAAAGTGTTGAGAATAGGATGGAGGGAAACTTACTGATTCTTTTCAACACGAAAAGAACCAGAAAAGAGGGACAAAGAGAATTCTACAACAGTAAGCTGATATCCCAAGAAAAAACTTTTCAACCAACCCCTTGCTTCACAATTCCAGCTAACCCCTTTCGTCCATTCTTCCTACAATGTTGCCACACACACACGCCCCAACCTACTAACCCTGAATACAATACTGCCAATGACCAAATCGGGAAAATGATCTTTGAACACCTAAATAAGATACCATAACACTTAACCACCTTGTATCTTAACAATTTGTTGTCTATATCCCAATCACGTATACAAAGGAGCCGTACGTTCAGCCTGCCAGACGCACGCAAACAACTACACCAACACACCCCCAAGCATAAGATATCTTAACGTGTGTTGATATGGTATGCGCTTCCCCTACCGCTATCCCCATGGTTGATCTTGTGTTCCGCGGAACAAACACGACACAAATACAGAGGCAGCTTGCAGATCAACGCGTACCCTGGCATCCATTCCCCATAAAGTCTACATAATCGTGAAGGACCCGTACTCCCTCATGCTCTCCTCCAATCCGCCGTGTCCTCCATTTCCAGATCTTCCTAACATATTCCACCACGTTCCTGTTGTCACTATACATAGGTTGTTTGATAAGCATGTTGTCCAACACCCGTAGCACCTTTTTTTTACCCAAAATGTGAGCTCGAATTACCCCTAAAAGGAGTTATCAAAGAACCGACCTTGTTCGCCGTCCAGACCTCATCATTCCTGGCATGTCCGCTCGCCGAATGTCTGAATTAAGCTATCTTGACATTCCGGACACTGCTATGCCTGAGGTCATAGCTGGGGAAGACCAATGTTTCACCTGCTCACTCTTTGGTCACTCCTTTGTCGACTGCCCCGTGAAAGGCTCCAAACGGCGCGAAGAATTTGACGATTGGCGGCTCGTGGCAAACGGCCGGATGTACAGCCTGCTTGCTGTGTATCCGGAACTTGCGTATGAGCAAGCAATGGCGACTTTGCATTTGGCCAAGCCGAAGGTCTCTAGCACCTCCGCCGCTGCATCATGGTAAGCAACCCAGACGCCTCATACACACACAACATCACAAAAAACTAATTACTGACTATGAGTGGCAGCTCCGTCCCAACTGACGCATAGAACACGTCGTAAGTGCTCCAATAAGTGTAAGTAAGTTACATTACTAACACGACCCCATTGGTCTCAGAGTACCAGTCACTGCCTATCCAAAACGCAAGGCGGCGGAAGCTACAATCACAGCTGAGTGAGTGTTTGGACCCTTTGCACATCCTAACATCCTCCCCCGTCAGCTGATCACGCATTGAATCAGAGTCAAAGGTGGCAACGACGGTGACAGCCGTCCAGTCAAACGCTAATGCTTGGGCCGTTCCAACCTGTGCTCAAAGCTTACCCAAATCTGCATCAAGGTAGGTAGGCTGTAGGTGACGTTCCTGAAGTCAGTGCTGATACTGACATGAGGAACGCACTCTACAATCGCATTAGCAGTGCGTCTCATTCCGTCAACCACCCAGCAAAGACTCCCATGTGCTGTAACGACGATCTATGTCGTTGAACGGCGTCCTGATCCACACATAGGCAATCGCAATAGTACCATTGATACTATTCACAATGAGGCCCTATGCATTCCCCGGCGCAAGTTGTAGGCATCGCCATGTTTATTGCATCTCAAACATTGAAAGTCGCAAAGTTTTGTATATTAGGATGGTGGTTGATCCACAATACGTAGTAGTAGTGATGGAGTCTGTATGATGAGGGCAGAACATTGAAATCCTGTAGAAGTGTGCAATGTGTTGTGATTGAGAATTGTGCACCAAAACGTCAAAGGAAGTGGGTGCCAGTGATATGCATTTTTATATTTCCATGAGGTATGCTTCATTTACAGACAGTAGACGGCAATGAAGATACAACAACAGCACGATCCGAGAGGATGTAAAGACCAAATGACAATGGAGTCTACACGCTACCGCTCTGAGTATGAGCATATTTGTGTTGAGTAACCGTAGACACGCTCGGCACCCTAGCCTCCCTAAGAATACGCGCTTGGCGCAAGGCTCCTTTACGCAAGCCTCCCCCATTATAACCGCCCATGAACCTACACCCACGACGACCGCTGAAATGTCTCGTAGGACTGAGACATAGTGGAAATCACAGTCAGCTCTGCATTATGTATTGTTACAGAGGACATCTACTTACAGTCCCCTCACGCTTGGTTGGCGTCTTCCCACATTTGCAGGGACGGGCACCGCAGGTGCGTCACCACCAAGCAACTGCATCAAAGAAATCTGGCATCAGGTAGAACAGCGTCAGCGTGTGCACGCAGAAGGACAACAGAAAACAACAATGCTTACATCACTGATCCAGGTCGCAGCCTCGGTGTCATACCCAACTACCACACCAGATAAGTGGACATCGGTTCCGACTCTCCACAGATTCTTAGCACACTCCATGGTTGGGGGCCGTAGCAATCTATGTTTAGTGAACCACACCACAGCACCACCTGTCTACAAAGCTCACACAATTACATCGACTGAAACACCATGAGCACATAGAGAAAAAGACTTACTGTAGGATCCCTATCCACTGATTTTAAGGTGATCATAACTGTGGGCGGATCACCGGGCAAGTTGCCTGTTATGAATCATATGTACCACGCGTGACACATTTATACACATGTCACAGATGACTCATCGTACTCTAGATGAGCGGCGAAAGAGCCTGTTGTATACTGCATCCGACAATCTATTATCATAAGAAGAGACACCCTTGAGTGAACCTCAACCCTTGTCGACTAAGACCCTGTCCCCTGCCTTAACATTGCCTGCGGTGATGACCTTTTCAATAATAGTACCGATTGCCGTGATCTGGACTCTGTTGACGGGGCTTTCCACTACACTATCAGTGACACCAGGTACGGAAGGCTCAATGATGCGGGTGGCACTGTTGAAGTGCAAATGATCATCACACAGGTCGTTGGTAGCGATCAGTTTGCATCTCATTGAGTATAAGCCGCCAGTGGTGAGTTGTACATTGTCGGACTTCTTCGTGAAGAGCTTCACGGAAATTGAGGTCATTTCACTGCCGTTGAAACCGCAGGTTTGCATAACTCCGTGGTGCACATCGAACAACTTCTCAGCAAATTGATGGTCGTGAATCTACATACGATAACAATGATAAGTGATGGCACGCAATTAAGATTCGTAACAAACGAAATGGCGAATTACTTTAGCACCGACTTGACCTATAAAGTGAATGTCAGTGGGATGGTCCAGGTGATGGCTATTTTTTGTGGACATAATTAATTAATGTAAATGAACGTATTAGATAGATAACGAAAGTGTTTTAGAAATGAGTGTGATTAAATTTCTTAACATTTCCTCCAACTTCAAATCTAACACTAGTATCAGAATTGTCAATTTTTCGTGGTTTTATATGACTTCTACTTCTCTCATTTCCTTCTTCCTCTTCACTTTCTTCTGAAGTTGAACTTGAATCATCACTTGAGCTGCTTGAGGCGTTTGAATCTCCATCACTTTCTTCTTCCTTAATAACCTCCTTCTTCCTACTTATCTTCTTTCCTTTTCCCTTCTTGACCACCTTAATAACTTCCTTAATCCTTTCTTTCTTCCCACTCTCCTCTTTAAGTCTTATTGAATTAATTATATCCACCATTTCTCTTTCTCTTCTTAAACAATGTTGTTGTTGATTAATAAACTGTTGTTGCCAATCAGGTTCTTCCTCGTGGTCTGAGGGTAATAATGCATCTTGTTCTCTAAATCCAGTAAATGCTGAAAGTGAAATAGGGTCCTCAGAAGTCGATTCTTCACGTTGTTTTCCACGCACAGTTGATCCTGAAGCCGGTCCTGGTGGTGGTGGTAAAGAGCCAGAGGGTAAAGATGTTGAGTAATTGATAGGAGTCTCTAAAGCATAAGTTCTGCTACTACGTGGAGTTCTTTTATAATGAGAAGTTGGTGGTAATTCTAATTCCGAATCTCCATCTTCTGCTCCTTCTTGTTCATGAATTTGAATAATTGAAGACATAATATTGATTTAATTATAATGAAATGATTTTATAAAACAAAGAGAAACTCGAAATATTGATGAATTTTAAAGGTTATAATAAGTTTAAAAGTGAATATATGCGTGGTTTTTTAGTTATATTCTTTCTTTGAAAGATTGATTGATGTTGTTTAGTATATTAATAGTTGATATTGAATTTAATTAATTGAATATTGTTGATATTTGTTGAATATAATTTTATTTCGAAATGATGAGTTATATTATTATTAATTTGATTGTTGATGTTTTAATAATAAATTTTTAATGTTTTAAGATAATAATTAAGGGAATTATTAAATATAATTGGCGGATGTTGCTTGTTTAAAGTAAAGAGCCCCAGTGGAGTCACCAATATGTAGTATTTAAAGCTCAACAAGAGCTTTACAACACCTAAGAAGGGATAATCTACTACATGTAATATAGTAGAAGTTGCATAAAGACTGCCTTCTTCAAAGAAACCAGCACAAGGGCACTTGCTGACCACTTTGTGATAACAGAGAAAAAGATAAAGCACCAGAGAAATGAAGCAATACTGTTGTGTAGTATTATTCCCAGTTTTAAGCGCAAAAAAGTCCACACACTATGTTATTACTAGCAATACTGTTGTTAAGTATTATTCCCAATTTGACTTATAGTCTTCAACACACGTAAATAAATTTCTCCTTGCTTTGAAGGGGCGGATTTAAGTGATCTTAGTACAAATATAGTAAATAAATGATGATTTATAACACTACAACAGAGGTATAAGATGCAGAAAAGGGAACAACAATCCCAAAATCATCAAAGAGTACCTATATCCACATGTAACAACCTCTACAACAGTCAACAGCCTCAAAAACCAGTCAAATCCGCCTAAAGAACCCTAAAAACCATGTAATGACGCAATGTAATGATCTTGTTACTAATGTATGATGTAATTTTCACAGCCAAAAGTGATCAATGACGCAATGATTTAATGTACAGCACTTCTCAAGATGAATACAGGTGCTTTTTTCCTTGTAAACTAGCTGCAAACCAATTTTTGAGATTACGAATTTTTTCAGAAGTGGTCCAACTTTGATCTACTATAGTGCATCTTGTAGCCCTCGTGATACTGATCATTTATGACACCCATATGACCTATTTCTGATGAGTGATGAGTAAGATATTGAGCTGTGAAGTTAAGGTTTTTGGTGTTACATGTTGACTTGTGACTGTAAATTCAAGATTCACACCAATTTCTTATTTGCCTTATAATGTTTTACATACACCTCCGTTACTGATGATTGAAAGTTTGTACATTATGTAATCCACTCTTCCGCGTTGAATGAGCTATCAGCTATCAACTTAATCTGACGTCATTTAACATATGTAATTAGCTGAAAACCTTCATTTTCCATGAAATTCACCCATTTTCTTCACTTTCCACAGCTACTACTCTCTTTTTCTTGCTCATGTAATATGTCATCATCTTCTATAACCTTAAAAAATCCCAAAAAATCCTCTTGGCAACCTTAATTTCCACTACTACCACCATTACATATGTAAACTACACGCATAACCCTTGTTTACCAACTTCAAAAAAGTACCTTTCTGCTAATAACTTCTGTTTTCCCTTATCAACCTTGAAGATCAAAATTGCTACTGTATAATAAATTGTTGTTCTTTCATATTCTAACCTTATAAAACCCATAACTTAATTATAAACAACCTAAAAACCATTTTCCAACTTTTACACCTATATTTTCAAATTTTTCTTATCTTTTCTTTTTCTGTCTTTTTGTAATAACTTTGTAAGTAAACTATGTTGATCTTAAGAATATTTTTGAAATGAGATGACATAATATTGAGCTAATAAGTATACATAAGCCTCTAAGAGCTTCAATTGATCTGAAAACCTGAATTTCGAATTTCCTGCTATACTGAAGTTTTCTAATAACTTGGTAAAGTAATGATGATTAATTTTCTTGCTTGATATCATAAATAGATCACCACATCGTGCTTTAGTTTCATTATTCCAAGTAAGTCGGTTTCTTTTCTATTTAGATTTCATAAATATTGTATCTGATTAGTTGATCTTCTTTCTTTTGTATTATTGATACAAACGTTACGTAGGGCACTGCTACCGGTACCTTGAACCAAAACCAACGAGAAAGTTTGGTCTTGTTCTCAGAGGTTGGGGTAGCTAGCCCATCCTCTGTGAATACTTCATGTTCAGGTCGTCTTTGGCCACTGGTAAGTCACTATTTGTTTGGTTGTTATCTCCAATTTCTATTGGTTTTAGTGATTGATTCCAACTGTCAAACACCAGAACCTATCGGGTCCACCCACAGTTGACTTGTGACAGGACTCAGACAAAGAGAATGAACATATTTGCAAACAAAAACGCAATCAGCCCGTTGTAGAACTTATAACCCAACAAGGGTTATACAGAGCTGGAAGAGGATAATCTACCAATAAAAATGACTAGTAGAAGTTGTCTAAGGACTGCTCTTCTAAAACAAGTCAATCAGGAAGAGAAACTGTTGACTTGAGTACTGATAAGGCACCAGAGAAATATAACTGATTTGATAAGAGAAAAGCACCTGATTTAATTAATCTCAACACAATTTTAGTGTTATTCCAGTCGAGTCAAAATGTAGAAAAATAATCTCAATATCTTTTTGATATTATTCCAGAATGACATCGTCATGGGTAGTACCCGTACAAGGCACGAGGTAGGTTGCGTAGTTCCATGCACTCTTGGAGATCCCGGCTATCTTAGAAAAGCGGACCAAGTTGTAGCGTACAGGTACATGCTTTGGATCCGCCCTTGAAAATAGGAAGAGGAGATCGCGTCCTGCTGTTGTGACCGCTAGGGAAGACCTTTCCTAATAAGGATTGATCTGAAGCCCTTAGACGCTCCTCCCTTCTTCCCCCATCGCTATTTTCTCTTCTCGCCGCCGGGAATATCTCTCGACTATTCCCTCGTTTGCGCTCCTTTCCCTTTCCTCTTTGATGATTATTGTGACACACTATTAGACTTGGAAATTTCCATCGTTATTTCATTTCCATTGTTTGTCCAAGAGCTAGAAACCATTCATTTCTTTTATTCACAATAATCTTTCAAATCCACTTTTTCTCTAAAAAATTAAAAAATTAAATCCTTTATTTATTGACCAATTCATCGCAAACATGACAACTAGAAACCAGAAGAAGACGAATGAAGGAGCAACATCAGAGAATGGATCGATAGTCAACATGTTGACTAACCCGAATGATCCGGCCAACGTGAAAACCATTCCACCTTGCTTAAACAACACTAATGATCCAGCGCAAGCTAAAGACATTAGTTAATTGACCAGTCCAGCCACAGCTAAAGACGGTGATGGCGATGCCAACCCTAATAGTCCAGCCAACACTAAAGACACAGGAGGTGGAGGTGTAAGAAGTAAGAATCCAGCCTAGGCCAAAGTTTCATATCATATCTCAAAATTTACACGCATCATAATCTAATCACGACTATGTTCTTGATTTGTTTGTTAGATAAAGAACCCGAGAAAGGAAGCAAAGAGACAAAGAAGAAGAAAAACACTGACATAGCAGCAGAAAAAGATTCAATTAAGCTATCATGAATAATTCAGATAAAGTAAGATTAATATATAATCAACTATCAATTCTTACGTGTGATGAATAGTAGTCCCTGAAAAGCTAGTTTTGACAAGTTATTTGGAGACACTAGGAATCAAAACACACAAATCAGTAAAAGGTAAGACCATCATAATTGAATGATAAAGATAAATAAACAACTGAATAACATTTGATTAATATCATAGATAATACTAAAGACAATCCAGAAGAGGAACAAAGACAACTGATTGCTGATAAACAAATCACTTTAACCAAGGCAATGGAGGCGGCAGCAGAGGGAAACACAGATGAAGCGACTTTTCTATTTCGAATGCATTCCAGGATGGTGATTCCGAGTTCAGTCAAGGAAAGCACAACCGAGAAGATCGTCAAGAAAGTTATAGAAATCATAGATGACAATGATGAATCAAACAATCAAGCTAAAAGAGATTTCAGCTCGATCGAAGAAGACGAACAACCTTTTGTAGAAAACGGGGTCACGTTCATGCCAGGTAGATAAGATCTCTACAGTGTTTTAATTTTATTTGCAAATAGGGACAAAACACTAATGCATATTTACTTAGGTTACGTTCCAAGTGTGACGACTTCACTCTTGACTCCTTACTTTGATAAAAACATAAAGGAATTCAAGGGACCGATGCCCCTCTCTATATTCAACCTGAATTGGCAAGCACTAGCGGACAGCTATCATGCAGAAAAGAAAGTGAAGACCAATGACGTGAAACAGACCAACTATACTGGATATCCTTACCCAGATGATCTTACGCTAACGTACGGAGCTTGGTGCATCAACTATCGGAACTTTCTCAAGACTTTTGCTAACCCTTACAGGTGGCATAGGTAAGCTATGAAAACTTTTGAGAAAATGAAAAAGGAAAATACTGAATCACGAATTTGCTTTGATAGATTTGCAAAAATGGGAGAAGTTCATAGAGAAAATGTTGAAACCATCAGAGAGACATCCGGTTGGATGACAGCTTTGAGATACAATGTCAAAATCCGCGACAGTGTATTCTGTTTGAAATGTTCCGATGGAACGACTGAAGGTGCTCCAGACATTAGGAAACATAGAAAGGATGTAGAAGACATATGCTAAGCTGACGCGAGAAGATATAATGAGTTATCTTACAGGATGGAAAGCCCCTACTCTAAAGGAGGCGAGAGGGAAGGATGGAATCCAAGGAACGGTGAACCGAAGCATCAGAATCAGAAGCAACCTCATCAGACCTTTAAATCCGCAATCAACAGCTTCAATACCAGCTTCGCGAGCACAAGTTCTTCAGGAAGAGGTGGTCATGTGGCGAGAGGTGGAGGAAGAGGCGGTAGATCAGGCTGCAGAGGCCCTCCGGAGCTGTTTGATCCTCATTTTGCAGAGAAGGAGGCGGCAGCAGTGGCAGCAACCAAAGCGAAGAACCTCACATCGTAAGTGAGGACTTAGCAGGCGGCGGTTCAATTTCTCTTCTTCAACTCTTTTCTTGTAGAGTAACAACATCATGCAATTCCAATATGTGTAATGACTGATTTGTATTCCTTTGTAATTCTTTGTAAATTTATGCATACTTGTTTTTGTTTCTTGATGAAGAAATGATATGAAATCTCATGACCAAACCAAAAATACAAATTCTCGTGATCAACCCAAAGTCACGCAATCAAATGATAAAGTTAAGACAAAGGGACCAGTGAAGAGATCAAAATTGAACAAAAGAGAAGAAGGAGAATCTTCAAGCGTAAAGGACGTGGTCACGATAGAGGGAGACCCAGGAGAATTGGACTTTGAAAATCAGCAAACGACGATAGATGGAGAGCCTAGTGAAGTAGACTTTGACAATCCTCAAGAGTTGCCGCGTAATTGGCCGACCAGAGTCACATGCAAAATGGACATTCCTCTGTGGAAGGAAGCATTGAGGAAAGCTGGATTATTAGAAGAATGCCAAGATGTTCTGGTTGGGTTTGAGAAGGGATTTGATCAAGGGATTCCTCCCCATCGGATGAAGGGGAAGCCACACTTTACACCTATAAATCACTCATCGGCAAAGATCGTAGCAGAGAAGATCAAGACAAACATCGCCAGCGAAATTGCGAGTGGAAGGATGTTTGGCCCGCTTTCTCATGAGGAGGTGGGGAAAATCTTCCCATTCTTTAGATCAAACCCGTTAGGGGCGGTCGTTAATGGAGATGGAAAGATAAGACCCATAAAGGATTTGTCGTATCCCAGGAACGTGGCGAACGAACCTTCGGTAAATTCATTCGTAAACAAACACGCTTTCAAAACAACATGGGACAACTTCGCCACCGTAGCAGCGTTCTTTAAGTCTTCAAAGGAATTATGGCTATTAGGTCTCTTCGATTGGGAAAAAGCATACAGACAGATCCCAACGTCATTGAGGCAATGGCGATATTTGTTTGTTCAAGATTTCGATGGAAAACTGTATTTAGACACTAGGATTACGTTCGGAGGCGTAGCTGGATGCGGTTCATTTGGAAGACCAGCAGATGCATGGAAACAAATAATGCAACATGAAAACAACTTTGTTAAGATTTTCCAATGGGTCGATGACAATTTATTTGTCAAGAGGTATGATTCAACGACCGAAATGAAGGACATTGTTCTGAGATTGAAGGCTTTAGGCGTACAAACAAACGAAGACAAATTATCCAAATTTCAACACAAACAAAAATTTATTGGCTTCATCTGGAATGGCATGAGTAAAACGGTTCAATTACCAGAGGATAAGCTGCAAGAAAGGAAAGAGCAAATTGACGAAGTATTGAATGGAGAAACATTTTCATATAATCAAATTTACATATTCGTGGGGAGATTGACACATGTGTCATACTTACTACCACAGCTCAGGGCTTATTTATGCGGACTGTATGGGATGAAGAAAGATTGGCATAACTTGCAGGCTGCAAGAGCGATAACAGAAGATGTACGAGAAGACTTACTCTTCTGGAAGCAGACTCTAGGCTCATTCAAGCACTTGCGTCTTATTGCAGCTCCGGAACCGGTAGAAATCTCGTGAATGGGAGATGTGTCGACCTCTTATGGGATTGGTGTATTAATTGGAAAGAAATGGATGCAATGGAAAACGACAGAAAGATGGAAAACTGAAGACAGTGACTATAAACATATAAATTACCTTGAAACTGTAGCCATACAAATTGGTCTACTCATGGTAATTGGTTTAGGAAGCAGACCAGGGAGAAATCTGATTGTATGGACCGACAATACAATGGCACAAGCAGCAGTAAAAAACCAAAAGTCAAAGAATAAAGCAGTTAACGAAGAATGGAAAATTATTCAAGGATTGTTAATTCATTATCAAATTGAAATACACGCGAAACGGGTGACATCGGAAGATAATGATGCAGACAAACTTTCAAGAGGTATCAAAGGAGATTGCTTAGAAAAAGACAGTTTCCCATTATCTTTACCACACGATTTAAGATTAAATTTTGTACAATCAACAGTTTCTAATGATGACAGTTCTAGATTATCCATGTGATTATGAACGTTCCTTGACTCTTTCATAAATTGTTTGAAACATTGTTTGCAAATGGTTTTAGTCTTTCAAGACATGTCTTTACCATTTGTGTTTCTTAAAATATGTCTTCTTGAAATAAATAAATGTTAAAGGATTTGTGAGCAGATGACCGAGTGAAAGTCTTGTGGAGATGATATAAGTGTTAAAGGGTCTCTGAGCGAGTGACCGAGAGAAACAGACCGACCAAGAGCCGCAGTAGCAAGTACCTAGCTTGGCTGATCAGGCACAGATAATGATATCTGTCGCAATTTTGGTCGGAGTGAAACTGGCTACCTGATTCAGATCAATTCAAGGATTCGATTCCAGAACGAGTCGAATCCCCCCCACACACCTCAGTCGAAAACACACCGTAGTGCAGAATGAGGGGTTGTGAGTCATTTGTTTTTACTTTCACCCTCATAGAGAGATTAGCTGACTTAGAAACTACTGGTGAACTAGATGACAGACGCGCTCCCATTGCATTGTTTGACGGCTTTTCTATCAACTGGATTGTATGACGCAACGCCGACGACACTCCAACTACATTTATTGAGAGGATGGAGAGAGTCAACATTGATTAGTTACAATGTGTTGAAGTAAATAGATTAGTTACATGATACTCATTTCACGTGCATGACATTTACATTTGATTTATATTTCATTTCTAATTTACTTTCATATTTGTGTAGCGTTACATGTTTGTATGTTTTCATCTGTACTCAATTCAAACCTAATAGCTCAAATTGTATCGCATATTTATACCTGGAAGAGCACCGAGTATGGGATTCTTCTCTCTTCATCCAAGTTCTTCTATTTAATTCTTGGATGAAGGTGAGTCTCAACTCGGGGATTTGTGATAAGATTCAAGGTTTGCATTCTGAATCATATCTAATCCTGCTCTGACAGGTAAGTTATTCTAATGTTGTCATTTCATATTTCATAACTTTGTTTTGTGTTTTCATATTGTTTTATGATTTGAAATATCAAAACTGATCCAAGTTCTTCTATTTAATTCTTGGATGAAGGTGAGTCTCAACTTGGGGATTTGTGATAAGATTCAAGGTTCTCATTCTGAATCATATCTAATCCTGCTCTGACAGGTGAGTCTCAACTCGGGGATTTGTGATAAGATTCAAGGTTCTCATTCTGAATCATATCTAATCCTGCTCTGACAGTTTGACAGGTTATGAGCCCAGCGTGATCCACGTCTGCGGTAAACATTCCTTTACATTCTATCAGTTTCAGTTTAGAACCTTATCAATCTATTCACTACCCCGACTTCGATGATCTCAACTCGTCTTAATGAACCCCACAGACGCCACTTCAGAATCTAAACCATCAGAATCTACTTCACACAATCCTTCGAGCCAAAAGACTCAACCTTTGTTACCTAAAAACTCTATACCATTTCCTTCAAAAGAATTTAAAATGACATCTAACTCTACCAATCAAAAATTTTCGTTAGATTCTTATTCCAATATAGTCAAGTTATCCACCGGTACCTTCAACGATTGGAAACTTCGTCTATCTACTGCTTTGGGGGCTCAAAGGCTCTCTAAGTATATTCTCCAGGATCTGAAAGCACCCACTGATCCTGATGAGCTTGAAGAATATGAAACCTATTCTCTCCAAGCTTTAGCTGCGATACATTCAACCATCGATGCTGAAAATTTTCAGGTGATACGATCTTGTACTTCGCCTCGTGAGGCATTCAAGGCTCTTTGTCAACATCATGATGATGCGGGTGGTTTATCTACCGCTCATTTATTCTCTGATCTAATGACGCTCCGAATGAATCCCGACGACAACCTCTCTGATCACGTATCTAAGTTCCGAAAGATACATAACGATCTTCTAAGCAACTTGTCCTTGACCCCTGATTTCAAGATATCTGAACCGTTCATCGCGATAATTCTAATCAAGTCATTACCATCTGAATACACTCCCCTTGTTCAAAGCTTACTTGCCAACTTTGAGACCCTCACTCTTCCGCGTCTCTACTCATTACTCAAGATAGAAGCTACTCGAGCCTCTTCGACAAATCCATCGGATACTGCACTTGCCGCCAGCCGTCCAAATTTCAAAAGGCCCGGTAAGAAACCTGATCGACCGACCAATCACAACTCATCTCTGAAGTGTTCTCTGGGTCATGCGGGTCATAATGATGAAAACTGTCGAACGAGGAAGTACCGAGCATTTCTTGAGTATGAAAAGAATCAACAATCATCCTCTTCCAATCACGTCAACGTATCTGCTCAACTATCTCAATCCATACCTGAAGCCGATGAAGACGTTTCATACTGGGAGTCGGCTTTTTCAGCCTCAACATCATCTAGTGCGCCCATCATATGCGATACTGGGGCTACCAGTCATGTGTTCTCTGACAAAACCCTTTTCTCAGATCTACAACACACTCGTCCTACTCGAATCGGTGTTGCGTCTCAGGATGGGGCGATTTGGGCGAAGCACAAAGGAACTGTGAGGTTCGAGTCCATTATACTTAGAGACGTCTTGTATTCACCTCAATTGACCGGAAATCTTATCTCTGTTGGTCGACTATGTGATGATGGGTTCAATGCTTCATTCACCAAAAACTTAGGAGTGATAACAGATTCATCAGGAAAGGAAGTCCTTCGAATGTCTCGTAACAAGCAGACAAATCGACTCTGGACGCCAATTGTCAAGTCAACTCACTCAACGGCTATGTTCACCTACACAGATCCGGCCGAGCTTGCTTCTACCTGGCATCGACGACTTGGTCACCTTCACCCGGATGCGGTTATCATTTTTCTACGCCGACATAAACTGATATCTTTGTCAAGAAAGGATTTCCTTCCCTGTGATTCCTGTGCGATGGGTAAACTCAAACAATCCCCATCCACTCATTCATTTCATTGTTCTCCTGGTGTTCTCAATCTTGTACATAGCGACTTAATTGGTCCTATATCTCCTGCCACTAAAACCGGTCTGAAATACATAGTAACTTTTATTGATGAT